GGAGGGAGCCCCTGGCCCCGCGTTTCTGCCCCGCTGCTCCCTGGTACGAGGGTTCTGGGGCTTGTCCTGGCCAGCTGCTCCCTCCTCTTGCCGCGGCTGCGCTGGTGTTGATGACTCAGTTCTGTGGTAGTTTGGGGTCTCAATGCGGGGGCTTAACACGCCGCCGTGTAGAGCTGTGCGGGGTGTCTTGGGCTCCAGCCTCGGGCTCTAACCCCGTGTCTGGAGGGAGACAGGGAAGCCGGAGCAGAGGCCGGTGCCCGGAGTGGTGGGGCTGAGCTGCCGTGCCTTTGCCACCCGCCTGCCGTGGGGCAGGAGGGCCGCGGGGTGGGTGCTGGCGGAGGGTGCCTGGGCCACGAGTTGAGGGATGGGACAGGGTGAGGCTTCACCTGCTGGCACACGGCCCTGGGCTGGGGTGTGGGACGTGTTTCCCCCCCCAGTGCTGGGGTGTTTGTGCTACATCCTTTCATTGTTTCTCCGTGGCATCCGCGCTGATGGTTTGGTCACATAATCACATTACTTAAAAGCCCCCTCGTGTTCAGCTGCTTTTTATCCTCAGGGTATTACAGAATCTTCTCCTTTTGAAACCACGCGGAGGGGAGCCTTGTAGGCGCTCAGCTGCTGTTTGATTAAGGACAGCCCTATCGATTTTGCCTGAACTGCCAACTGTGCTTAGCCTAAATAAGAGAGGTGTTATCAGTCTGCAGACTCCGCAGTGCTCTGGCCTCGTACAGCGTGTGCCTCGCTGGTGCCTGGGAGCTCTCCAGCTGGGAGCTCTTGCTAGACTGGAGGAGGCTCCGTGCCCGTTGTAATTTTCTATGTGAAACAGTCTTTTTTTGTTAGTCGGGCACACGTTTGTGAACTTACGGTATCTGTCAGTGTGCTTTCGTGCTACAAACGATAGTAACGTTACCATGGCAGTATATGTAGATAACTTAAATATTTTTTCTTTCGATCTAGTTAGGGCTAGATGAGTAGATCATCATTAAAAACAGCAACCACACCTCGCTGTAAAGAAAGTGTCAGCACGTGTGTGAGTCATGCAGTAATCTTTGTGCGCATGAGGAAAGTCCTGCTGCAGTGGATTTATGGAATACTAGGTGTACACAGTAACATAAGCTATAAATGAAAAATAAAATCTCGTAATCCAATACGCTTCTCACCTGACGGTGACTTTCAAGGTGACGACTCCTGACTTCACGGGAGCAGCCCAAGGTCAGGAACGCGTGTGCTGGGAGAGCGATGCGGTCCGAGTGCTGTGCTTGGGTTTCTGGGCTCTTCTCCTGCGCCGTGTCCTGCTGTAGGTGCCCCGGCCGTGAGGATGTTGGGCTGGAGTGGGGAATTTTTCCTGGAGGAGGTGGCCTGTGCTTCAGCGTGAAAGGGTTAAGCCGAAGCTGGTGTTTATGTAACCGAAGAGGGAACTCCCAGAGATGAGTCCTTGGCTATCGCATGCGTTGATGCATCAGGAGGGTTTAAAGCAAGCCCAGCTTGTTGCTTGCACTGTGATTACATTGCTGGGATCCTGTGCTTCGGAGTTTCCCCAGCTGCCTGGGGGGGCCTGGAAGGAATTTGCTTTCCCTGATACATGATCATTGGATCATTCCATTGGCCTGTGGAAGCTTTTTTTTGTCCCTGAGAAGTTGGAGATTGGCCACAGCTAGATGCGGGGTGTAGGCGAGGGGTACTGGGGTCCCTTTTAGCACTGTGGCCTCTCAAGTGCTGGCTGTGCCTTGCTCACGTACCCAGAACTAAACTGATCGGCAGGTTGGGCTGAGGAAGGGGGTTTTCTAGTGGTCGGTTCAGCAGGGGCTGCTGGAGGTGTTCGTGTCTCCCAGCTCGGCGAGTTCGTGCTTCACCGGGTGCCCCAGCCCCTCGTGCTGCGCCGGCACCTTGGGATTCTTCCTTCTCCTTCAGTCAGAGAAACTCTGCGTCTGGTTTGGAACGAACTTCTCGCTAAGGGAAGAAGCTTGAATGAGTCTCCGCACGTTTCCAAGAAATCTGTGAGTCAGGGCTCCTCCGTTTCTGGAGAAGGCTTCCCTTCCCGGAAGGGCTCGCGCAGCCAGCGGTACATGGGTTGCACTGGCAGCGCTGAGTCATCTGATGGGCTTTTATTTTTATTATTATTACTTCTCTTACACAACGCTTAAACTTCCAGAGCCTTTGTTAAACTTAACGCTCCTGTATGGTGAATCCACCCCGGTGCTTTGCGGAGGGAGAGGAGCCCACCCTGCGCCCCGCTGCAGCAGCTCCTCCTGCCCGCCCGCCTGGCTTGGGACCTGCCCTGTCATCCCCGGCCGGTGACTCCTCCGCGGGCCTGGCTGGTCCCAGCTCCGCCTGTTCTCGGGGAAGCTTTTCCAGTGGGAACGGAGCCTCTCTGTCCCTGGGAGCGCCGATGACTCTGGTCTGAGCTGTCCCTCGCTGGGTTTGCCCGGGGAAGGCGTGTGGCACCACTCCAGGGTTGCTGCTTCCCGCAGCAGCACCCACCTGCCTGTCCCCGCGCCGGGGAGCTGGACCGTGCTCCAGGTTTTGCTCGTTTAATGTGAGTGTTCGTGTAGGTTTTTAGGTCACGTCCAACGTAGCCTCTCATGAGCGGGAATTTGCCATGAGCCAGGCTAAAATGTGAACTTTGATTAAATCATCACTGATAAATACTGCCCATATATGTAATACTAAGTGTGGCACTGAAGTGGTAAATGATACTGCTCATTTGAATTAATTTTTTTTAGCTTTATTTTTGCAAAAGCTGAGGCCTGCGCTGGCTATGGGGGGAGCAGACAGAGCCACTGGGACACAAACCTTTGGACCGGGTCTCCAGCTTCACCCCAAATGCCGCAGCAAACGCTTTTTTCGCCCGGCAAAGACGGTTGGGCAGAGCTGCTGCTGCGCTGCGTGGCAGGACCCCTCCGGTCTGGGGTGGGAGGTGGATGGTCCTGGGCACAGCGTGACACTGTGCTTCCCCAGGCACCTGGGGGGGCCGCCTCCTGCCCCCCAGAGCCCGCGGGGAGCGGCGATCCCTTTGTCCCGCGCAGCCCCGTCTCGCTTCCACCTGCAGCCTTTTTCCAGGTCAGGAGCAGCAGCAGGTTTTGGGTGCCGGCGGCGCGGCCAGTGGCGCCCCAGTTTCCTTTAATGGTGGGAGCTCGTCCTCGACAGCCCTGAACTTCCAGCAGACGCTGGCGGGCTCCGTCGTTGCGGCCGGTGCCCCGCTGGCAGCCGGCCCCGTGGATCATCAGGCCTGTAGCCGTGGGGGCTGCCGCCCTCGCCGTGACACCGTCAATGCCAGCCACCTCCTTTTGTCCCCTTGTTGCGAGATAAACCAACAGAAAGTGTCGTGGGGGTTGTATCAGCTGCTCCAGTGTCTTAACTGGTTCCTGTGCTGCTGAGTAATCCTGTTAACGCCCCAAAGGTACTTTTTTTTTTTTTTTTTCCTGCTCCAGCTATTAGCTGTGGCTGCTGGACTGCAGGACTTGCCTGTTCTTTAATCTGAGATGAAAAGGTCATTTTCCTCCTCTTTTGTTTTTCTTTGTTGTTATGCTGGGCACTGGAACATCATGCAGTAACTCAGGAATTAGACAATTTCCTTAAGCTATATAATTAAAAGACATTACATCTAGGTCTTAATTATTTGATTAATAACTCTATTAAAATCAGAGCTAGCACGGTAAGAAGCTTTAGGTGCATCTCCAGTAAGATGTTCAATATATTGCATGCGTCGTGTTAAAATTACTGAATTTTTGTGCTAAACTTGTAACTCCGTTGTCTGTGAGAGAGCGTTTCTGTTACAGGTGGTGGGACGGGGAGCGGGGTTGGTTCGGTTCAGTTCCTACACTTCGGTTTCTAGGGGAGCGGGCAGTGGAGCCACCACACCAGTATCTAATGGTCCTGTCCCTAGGGTGAAGTGTTTTGAGGGAGAAATGGTTTTGTTCTGGTTCTTTGCAGAAATGTTGGATGCTCTCTTGAGACCGATCCTGTTGTTAATTTACTTTTTTTTTTTTTAACCAGTCTTAAGAATCGGCAGGTCCCGGCTGTCTGTGCGGCTGCCTGCAGACAGAGCCGTTGCTGCAGGGGTGAGGGGATGCTCTCCACCTCTCATGGAAATGTTGTAAATCCTCAGCTTTGGGCTATTTTAAATCTCAGCTGTGCTGCAGCGTAACCAGTTTGTGTGGGGGACTTCACTTGCTCCCCCAGGACAGCACTGGGCTGTGTTCTGGGTGGGGGTGGGAGTTCAGTTCCCATGTCCCACCTGTTCCTTGGGTGGTTTTTCGGGTGCTCTGATGGATACTGGTAAAGTGAGCCAGCTGTGATTACAGGTGTGTGACGCCTGCAGTATCTGAGGGGTAAACTAAGCATTTGGTAGAGGTGCTATAAATTTAATTCTGGAGTGTCTGATTTAAATCCTAAATTTCTCCTTTTTAATGGGACCAGATGAAGCACTGAATTTAAGTTGAATTAGTTTGATTATTTTTTTCAAGAGGCCAAGTATATATTGTAGAGAGGAACTAACTTGCAGTGGGGATCTGATGAGAATAAAATTCAGCGTAGCCTTCTGTGCCTCTTGCAGAAGCTGTTCTGTTCGAGCCCAACCTTTAAGCATTAACTCTTACCGTGACTAAAAATCGCTCCCAGTGGTGAGGATCCTGTTGTGGCGCTGCTGCTAACTTGGGTGTGTTTGAGACACCGTTAAAAGCAGGCGGGTAGTCCCACGGGGCGGAGGTTCAAGTGGAGGTCGTGGTCCTGCTCTGAAGGTCTGTCTGGCATCGCAAAATGCCCTTTGAGGTTGTTGACGCTTGTGTTTATCCGGCTGCGCAGGGCTGTGTGTCTGTGACTTGGGGACTGGATTCAAGAGCCCTTTTATTCTCCCACGTAGCTATCGGGAGCTTCAGGCCTTCTCGAAGCCAAAACACACCCGGGTGTTTCAAGCTGCAGAAGCTTTGGTGCATCCCACGTTATCGTAATCAAGAATAATCCAGAACCGCAGCATCAAGTGTATCTCGTTTCGCATTACAGAGTCCTCGACCTTTCGACCATCCAGCCTTCTCCAAGGTGATGACTCCTGTCTCCTGAGACGTTGGAAAACCTAGTTTGGAAGAAGAGTAAAGATACAGTTGATGCTGAACTACGTGAGTCCTCCGATTATTTTGTTTACGATAACGCCATTCGCAGCAGCGATTCCTCTCCAGCCTGGATTGCACAACGGTCATTATCTCAGAGTTTCTGTGCGGTGGGGTTTCTCCAGTGGAAATGTTACTCATACGTTTCCAGCAGGGATGATGGTGTTGCAAGGAGTGGAGGATTTTATAAGGCATAATCAAACATTAGGTCAGAGATGCGGAATGAACAGAATAAGGAGCATATGGGGCTCAGGACTTTGTTCTGTTCCACGCTTTGTTCCGTTCCTGGTAACGCTTCTCTGCTGGAGATCTGGACGGGCTGGTGGAAGTCGGAGGCGCAGGGATGCGAAGTCTGCTGCAAGACTTCTCACCTTATCTCTCTTGCTATCTCTGATCTCGGTGACAGGTACTGCTAGATGAATTAATGCAATGAGATCACGCTTGTGTCCACAGAAAGGGTGGGACTGCCAGAGGGTAAACTTCATTCAAAGTATGGTGATTTATCGGTCTCTCATGTGGTGAAACACTGGGACATTTTTACAACAAATAAGTACAACCCAAAAATATTTTCCCAGTCTGCTGTAGTAACCTCTTAGGGAAGCCTACTGGGGTTTGGTTCTGACTTGCTCAGAGTAAGAAAATGGATCTGTGCTCAGTTCCTCCCCCCCTGCCCCAAATCTTTGAAATGTTACAGCAGTAGCATTTAACATCTAGGTATTTGTGAAAGTCTCGGAAACCCTTTTCCAAGAGATAAAGGTGAAGTGGAGGTGTACTGGGAACAAAACTTGAGTTTGCCAGAGCTGATCTGTGCTTGCAGTGAGCACGCGGTGGAGGTTGGCCTGGCAGCAAACTGAAGAGGTTCTTTCCCTGCTAAACTGAAGCAAGATTTTTCCTTTGGGCAAGAAGTGTTTCGGTCACAAAGACCTGACTTTATTTGGCCCTTTTTAGGCATTGGTGCTGCAATACTGCCACAAATGCCCTTTAGATTTCTGAGCAGCAGAAAATGCGTGTTGGAAGTCAGATTTTCTGCAATACCTAAGTAGGAGTTAGTCAAGCTTTTAGTTGTCTGTGCTGAATTCTCGTGGTGTGTTGGACCTTTAGTAAATACTTGGATGCAAAATGTGAGATTGACATTTAGTGGATTAAATCGTCCTCTGCATGGAGTGGGTAGTGCAAGAGAGCACACGTACTGGCACCACAGTGTTTCCTTCCATTGGAATGTCCATTAAAGGCAGGTAATAGCGTGTTAATTCTAAACAGGGCATCGATTCCTGCACACGGAGACTGAGTTTTATACGTTGGATTCCAAATTTCAGCTGCATTGGATGTAAAGCATTAATAATACAGCTCCGTAGACGGAGATGTAATAAAAAGGTTAGAGCTTCAAGAGGTACCAAGAGAGAGGGGGGACTTATTTGAAGACTAAAAATACATTTTTTGAAAAAATAAATTAACCGAATCTCACAATAACAAGTGTGGTTCAGTCTTCTGTGCCCTTGCTGGAAAAGGTGACAGATATTGTTCTATTTTCTGGTCAGTTCTGTGCTGTTTGAGGAACAGACCTGAGCCTTCTGAGTCTGTGGCCGAGCTGCCTGCGATGCCCGGTGGGAATTCCTCCGTGAAGGAACCCACAGGAGTCCACAGGCTGAATCACAGAAGTAGACGTCCATACAGAGGATAACTTGGGCATTTTCTGCCAGAGTTTTTTGGAATATGTTAATTCGCAAACTTGTTTTTGCTGTAAAACAAGCTTTAATTATTTTGACTTATTCCCACTATGTCTCTCAAACAACTGTTCTGTGAAATGTTGCTTTGAATAATGAGGCTGATTTATACCTTCAGTAACACATTAAGGCTCCAGCCCACAACTGGTCTATCAGTAATGAGCCATAGCTTGGTGGAGAAAGGCAAGTAGGCAGACACACGACTGCATCAGTAGGTGAAAGCCTTCCAGTACCAAATGAGGGATAATATAAGAAATTAACGCAGTTGCTCATCAAATGTGATCTTCTTTCTCTTTCAAGAGCCAAGGATGAAGCGGCGAGCATCAGACAGAGGAGCTGGGGAAACATCCGCTAAGGCAAAAGCTCTTTGTACAGGGATTTCTGGAAATAATGCCAAGAGAGCGGGCCCTTTTATACTAGGTAAGCAGGGAGGGTTTTCTTCTTCAGTTTTCAAGGTAGCTACTGGTTGCAAAGCTGAAAATAAAAGGCACTGTAAAATGAGGCAAAGCAGATGTACTCCGAGGTAAGATGCTGAACTAGACAACTCGCTTGATGCGGCCCTTGGAGCTCCTGCAGCTGCTCAAGCGAAGGAGGTTTCTAATGCTAATACAGCCAGGCAGACGTGGCTTTTAAGATAAATGAGCCCTTTCACTTTTTTTTTTTTAAAAAAAAAAACCAAACCCCCTATATTCTTAAACCTTCTTAAAGAACAAATCCAGGGGGCTTTTCGGGGAGAGTTCCGTAGAGGTGTTGAACCCTGCTTGCCTGGAATGTGCTCTCAAATCAGCAGGTAGGCAGCTTGGCGGTGCGGTCGTGGTCACTACAGACAGTAGGTGCTAAGGTAAGGCCCCTCCGCGAGCTTCTGAGAGTTGCTAGAATAGTTGCTAGTTCAGAACTCGTTATAACGACTGTCAAAAACTCGGGACTTCCCTGTGAAAACCAAATGGATAATCCATAAACCAACTGATTTAAGTTGAAGAGTGGAGACTGTAGGTTAACTTGAAATTTGGCCCGCTCCGTGTACCTGAGCCGTCCCTGCAGAGGTGGCAGCTGGGTTCGGAGGTGTGGTAATAGCGGTTGCCATGGGTGTTGCTAGTAAATGTAAAAGCTGTACGGTTCAGGCATGCAGAAATTTGAATTTCTGAAAACAGCTGTGCCGTATGTGGGCTTCTGTTAAATGTTTCTCCAGTCAACAAGCGAAACATTGTCCAGAAGGTTTTCAGAGCTCGGTACCATTTTTTTTTCTTTCTATCATAATTTGTGGAAACGCGCTCAGTCTGCTGAGAAAAAAGGAACTTAGTTTAAACTAATGTAACTGCGTGACACTTGCACACTGATGTAACCCTGAATTAGTCACTGCTGCTTAAAGGAAAACAAGTCTGTTTTTGCTTTGTGCTGTTAGGTCCACGTTTAGGTAACTCCCCCGTGCCAAGTATTGTTCAGTGTTTGGCAAGAAAGGATGGGACGGACGACTTCTATCAGCTAAAGGTAAGCAAACTGCAGGGCTTGCAGATCTTCAGGGCTCTTTAACTTCAGCTCTTGTGTCGGGAGCCCTGGCAGTGGCGTGTGGTGCAGGCTGAACCGGTGCGCGCTCAGAAACCGCTGCTGGAGCTTCCCCTCGGCGGGGCAGTTCTGCCAGGCAGAGATCTGGTGTCGAGATTAGGCCTGAGACGGGGCCTCTGTGGCTGCTGCACTGCTCTGCTGGAGCCCGCTGATCTGCTTGTCTCCGCTGTGCCTGAGATAGGGGCAGATCCAGTGGAAAAAAAAAATAAATCACCTGGGATACTTGCAAAAAGCCACCTGAGCAGGTTTTCTGTGTTAATCAACCTCCTGCTCTGCATTCTGCACAGGTGTTAGTTCAGACAAGCTTGCGGCAAGTATGCAAACATCAGCACCATTACATCAGCTGTTAAACTAACATGTGAATACCTCCAGTCAGAGAGGTTGGGGGCATTTGGGTTTTTCTGGGAACTGTAAAGGTGTTTTCCCTTTTCCTGAAGATTCTCACCTTAGAAGAAAGGGGTGATAAAGGAATAGAAACCCAGGAGGAACGACAGGGCAAGATGCTGCTGCACACGGAGTATTCTCTCCTTTCCCTGCTCCACAACCAGGAAGGAGTGGTTCATCACCACGGGCTCTTTCAGGTACAGCTGGTCACCGTCCAGGTTGGGGGAATGCCAGGAACTGCTATTGGCTTGTTTTTCTCATGTACAGTTCGTGCTGACCCTGTTCCGGGTGTAGAGAATTACCAGTGTGTGGCTGAGACAAACCGCTGCTGCTTCGGGCAAGCACGTTTGTGGCAGGAGCTTTTGAGGGTGAAGTGGGATGTGGGAAACGTGAGAACGTTCAGAGGTGGGACAGGCGCTCAGGAGCGTCCCCTTCAAATAGGAAAATAGCTGCTTCACTGGTGAATCAGAATTTAGAGCTGAATTTGTGCTTTCCAGTCCCTGTGCTGCTTTATGATGGCTTGTGAGAGGGGCCAAATTGCCAGGAAACTGTTTCAGCAAATTAAACTAGTCAGTGTGCTGATCGATGTGTTGTGAGAGTGAATTTGCTGCTGTTAACGCCTTCAGAGCTGTTTATGGGCTGGTAGGAATTACTGGTTTGGATGTTGGTATTGCCTTGTTCTCTGGTTAAATTTTGTCATCGGGCTCTTCGCCTGAGGCCATTAAATAAGTCAGATGTCCAACTCAGCTGTGTCCCGTCTAACGTTGTGGAAGAACTGCTAGTTGTATTTTAAGATTTCTGTTCTCATTGATAATGTGCTGGGTCCCTCCTATTCACAGGGTCTGTACCACCGTGTAGAGTTTTTCTAGGTTTTGCCTACAGGTGTCTGTGCTGACACACGCATACAGCCAAACAGCGTAGACTTCTCTGGCTTCTTTGAGATCTTTTTTTTTTTTGAAATCCCCACTTGGGGCAAAGGTCAAGTGCTGGGATTGCATTTGCTTATTTTGAGCTCACACGGTTGTTTATTCTCTAGCGCTCTGTGTGTAAGCCCAGAGAGCTTCCCTGAACTATTGATCGTTTGTTTGCCTCCCTGTAGGACCGAGCTTGTGAAATTATAGAAGATCTAGAAGCCAACAGAATGGTCAGAAAAATGAAGAAGCGCATTTGTCTTGTGTTAGACTGTCTCTGCGCTCACGATTTCAGTGACAAAACGGCAGATCTGATCAATCTGCAGCATTATGTCATTAAGGAGAAGAGACTGAGCGAGCGGGAGACGGTCGTGATATTTTATGATGTGGTACGAGTGGTGGAAGCATTACATAAGGTAAGATCTTTGTTAGCCCTTTCAGTGCTGGAAGGCTTCGTTTTCCCACGCTGGTGTAATGGATGTTTTAAAGCTTCCTCGTGCAGGCAGTGGCAGCGTTACAGAGGATGGAGGTTCCTGCTCTTTCCCTGTAACCGTGTTCTGTGTAAGGCCTCGGGGCGAGCCATAAAAGAGCGTTCCCTTCCCTTCCCCTGCCCTCAAGTTTCTCGATGATAACGTAGCGTTTGTTGACTGTGGAGAGGGGCCAGCTGGACGAACTGCCGATCAGGTGAACTGCAGTGTTACCGGGTGGTCAGAGAGCAGGGGCTAATCAAATGCAGGAAGCACTTCAAGCGATTTCCTTCTGAAGCAAAATAAATCCCAACGGAGGAATTGATTTCTGAGATCAGAACCCCAAGCTGTGAGTTTGAGATCAATGAACTAGAAATTGTTGTAACAACAATAGGTTCTGCTGATGTTTGACTTCTTACCCTGTGACAAGGGACTCCCGTCCGTCCTCGGCGGAGCGGTGAGCTGTGTCTGAAGGGAGCACTCATCCTGCTGCTCTTACCGAGCCTGGACACTTGAGGTTCACGTCTCTTACTAGTTCAGTCAAATCTGTGTGTTCAAAGTAGCAAATTTACTTGTTCAGTCCTTGTGGCCAGAATCGAAAACGAAACGCATGAAGTACCCAGGATGCAACCTGCCTTGGAACCTTGACCTCGGTTCCTTCGGCGAATGAAGATGACGTGATTTCAAAGGATGCTTAGTGCTTTTGCCCAAGTATTATGCTTCTAGAACAAATACACTTTTGCTCATGTTATACTATTATCTATTTTACAGAAAAATATTGTGCACAGAGACTTGAAACTAGGAAACATGGTGCTAAACAAAAGGTAAGTGTGCTGGAGAGCTGCTGCTCTGGCAGTTGCGTTTCTTCCCTGAAGCAATTTTCTATTAGAAGCACGATCAGAGGCAGCACTTGATGAGAGCGCTGTTGTGTGAAAAGAGCGAGGGAAATGGAAGCAGGCTGTGCAAAAATATAAATCCAGTTCAAAGTTATGTGAGTTAATCTCCAAAAATTGAGCTTAACCTAGATAGTTCACTCTTCCACCGGGCTTAGTGACCCCGTGTCAGCATTGCTTTTGGGATTCGAAGTTCTGAAAACTATAGTAATACAGAAACCGGCAAGAGAAATAGTTTTTATATATTTTTAAGAAAAAAAAAATTAAAAATTAAAATGTGGTAAGTGGTTCTGTTGGCATCATTCACTTTCCCCCGTGCTACAGGAATTCCCAGCACTGCAGCCTGCACTATAATCACAGCAGTGTTAAATCGTTGACTGTTGCACTGCTGTGTTTTTGCTAGCAGTAAAATATTTACTTATCTAAACAAAAGCTCTTCTGTCTAGTCTGTATTTGTGCTTGAAATAGCTTCCTTGTTCCCATTAGCTGGTTTGATTCAAGCCTCAGTTTATAAGCCCCCGTGTTGAGGGGGCAGGAGGGACCAGCCCTCCGGAGCAGAGCGAGTGGCACCGCTGGGGCTGAGCTCAGCGGGAGCGAGAGGCCGCGTCCTGCCTTGCTTGGTGGCTCCTTGGAGGGTTTGAACTGTCTTGGGTTATGTAGTTATTCAGCTGGCAAGCTGGTTCTGCTTCAGATGCTCCGCTGTGTCCTTCAGTATTACATTACTGACTAAATATTTTGCGCTAACTTTAAGAATGAGTGGAATTCATTGTCTTTTCACACTGTCTGGGTTTCTGTGGAATTAATAAAAAAAATGGAAGCTTTAGGTCTGCAGGCTTCCAGAGTCTGTACAAAGCATGCAAGTTCGCTGTGGTCACAGCTTGTTTGTTTTGTTTTTTTTTTCTTCCTCCCTAATACTGTTTGAAAGCAAACAGATTTTTACCTCCTGAGATTGAACGTCTTGGTTCCCCCCACATCTTGCTTTTCAGGGCCACCTGTAAATTGGTTTAAGTCATTTCTGTAGATCTGCTTTAGGATAAATCTCTCATCTTCTGCTTGCTGCTTTGATTCTCCTTCTTGCTAGGAAGAGGTAGACAAAGGTTACTGCTTCAAAGGATCCACCCAGAGCTTCCCTTCTCGTCTGGGCGCAGCGTGCAGTGGAGCATCTTGCACAGAGGGGCCCCCGTAGCAGGAGGAGGGAGGTGTTTGAAGCTTTGAACCCCCTTGCCAGAGCCATTCGCTCTATTACACACGATGGTTTTGCTTTTTACTAGCAAGACCATCAGCTCTGAGGAAGAGCTGTAGCCTCTACAGCGGTGAGTCATACGCAGGGGTGGGTGAGGTGTAAGAATAGATCACCATGGAGAGGAGCTGCCGCTGGGGCTGACCAGGCACGGCCCTTCTGTTCCAGCCGGGCCCGTTCTGCTGGCGGGGAGGGGGCAGCGTGTCACTGCAGGGTCCTGACGGGGCCCCTTACACCCTGGGCTAGCGAAGGTCCCTTGGCCGTTGTCCCCCGCGAGATGCGGATGTGAAAGCCTCACAGGTTTTCCAGTTAGCTGGTGCAGTAGTTGGAGGATTACAGATTAGATCAGATTTCAGTGACTAAATAAAGCCAAGCAACCCTGAACATTTTAGTGTCCTTTAGAACACTTAGTCTTTTTAATCCTTAACAAATTGTGCAGATCGTTATTCAGCCAGGGAGGTCTCTTGACAGTTGAAACTAACACTTCTTAAACACAAGTCTGTCTTTCTTAATAATCAACTCTCCGTTGCCAACCCACACTTGGTTTTATTTCACTTGTCTCTTAGACTTGCTGGAAATATTTCTCGGTTATTGTGACTGACTGAATTCATTCTCTCAGACTCGAGTTGTGTAATGCTTTTCAAGAATATAGAAATCTTCTCGGCAATGTTTTTCTCCTCCGTCCTTTAAGCTGTACGTTAAAATCCAAATTATCTGAGCGACATGGAAGATTTAATGCGATGGTAGTTTCCTAATGAGCTCGCTTTCCCTGGAAAAATTCATTAATTGGGGCTGGCAGTACTATAGGGCAGTGTAAGGGTATCTTAACAGCGAAGTTGTGTGTACCTGCAGCTCTTGCCTTTTCTGTAGGAGGTTGTTTAGGTGTTAATTAGGCACTCTCCGCTCTGTGTGCTGGGGTGTGAAGAACAGCCCTGCAGATCAGGTAAAACTGCCACCGGACTCCTCCTGTGGTATTGTTGGGTAACACAAAAGTGGTTGTTCTGAATCTGATCAAAGGTCCTGCAGCTCATCTGGTGACACATAAGCAAACAGTGCATGGCAGCCAGGCACGGGGCAGCCCTTCTGCAGGGTATTCCCCCTCAGCTTCCAGAAAATGTTGTGCGGAGAAGATGCTTTTAGGGATGGTAGTTGGGCAGCGTAGGGGAGAACCAGCAATTAAAATAAACGTTGTTAACATGCTCCTGCCCTGCAACGGCCAGCAAGCGCACACGTGCAGGTCCTGGTGCTGTGCTGCGGGCTAGGATGCTCCGGGGAGGCTGGCCAAAGGGCAGCTGTGTGGCTGCAGGGTGGGCAAGTTACAAGAGCACCCTGTGCCCACAGCCAGGCTTCCGCCTGCCGCTCGCTGTGGGCAGTGTCTGTAGCTGTAAGAGGTTCTCTTGGTCGCCCTGTAAGAGCCTTGCAAGCCGTGCTGGTGGGTGGAATCCACCCCTTCGTGCTGGAGGTGATCCCCTGCCTCCACTTGTCCTTTCCCAGCACTCCAGGCTTCCCAAAAAGCCCCAGAGACACACACACCTCCGTGGTGCTGTGAACTTCTGCCCGTGCTGTTCGGCTCGGGCAGGATGGGCCGTGTCAGTGATGCCTTCTGATTCTCCCCAGGACTCATCGAATAACCATAACGAACTTCTGTCTCGGAAAGCACCTGGTGAGCGAAGATGACCTGCTGAAAGACCAGCGCGGGAGCCCTGCCTACATCAGCCCAGATGTGCTCAGCGGTAAGCACACCCCTTCAGCCCTCAGTGGGGGTTCACAGCCCCCTCTTCACGCTTGTTTCATTTATTTGTGCCTCTTGACAATAAACGAAAACCACGTAGTTCTGTTCCCATATGTAACCTGCCTTCTGGGAGAGCCTCCTCATTAGGGTCCAATTATGAGACTTGGTCTGTTTTTCCAACTGAGGAGGGAAGGAGCGAGTGTAACTCTTTTCTTAAGGCTAGTCTGAACTTCAAAGCTAATGAAAAGCTCCCTGCCTGCTCCTAAGTAAGTCCGACTGCAGACAAGGCGTTCCGTGTCCCACGTCTGAATCTTGTTCCTGAGGCTTCACTTAAGCTGCAGGTAAATCCCTCGGCCAAAGAGGCGATGGGTCCAAATCCCACCGTGCTGTCAGTTTACTCCAGACCGTACACTAAGAGGAGGAGTTGCTGCAGCTGCTACTTCCTTCCAGAAGGGAACTGTTGACCCTCTGGGCAGCTTCTGGGCCGACTGAGAGGAGTTACTTAAAAATAAAGGAATGATGTCGCCAGGCCAGAGCAGCAGTCTGTCTGGGCTGCATCTTGTGTCCGGCAGCCTGGCCTGTGCCTTGTTTCCAGCAGGGGCCCTAAGCAGAAGTCTGGCAAAGAACTGCTTTCCCTCATGTCCTCCCACCTTTTAACTGTTTCCAGTGTGTGAGACTCTCAGAAACAGACGTGGTTTCTGTCTGTTTAGTTACTTCAGGAGGTTTCTCTTCCATGAGCTCTGAGATCTGCTACTGTGCTATACCTTGTGTGCTGGCGATAGCTGAGCAGGCACTGGTGGTGCTGTTTGTCAGTGCAGTGACCCAAGGCTTAGTTTTGGGATTTTCTTCTCATCAAGGATGCTTTTACAGCTGGGACTGTGCGTATGAAACCTCTCTGTAGACTCCAGTTAGGGTGCATTAGCTCGTGCTGTGGAGTACTCCCGGTGAGCACAGATAAAATTCCCTTTGGATGAAGCTGAACTGCACGTTGCAGTCCCGGATCACCCCTTGTGCACCCCATTGCCTGAGGGTTACCCACCCGCAGGGCCGAGCTGGCCTTCGGGGGTGGGAAAGTGCCTCGAACTGGGCTCGGTACCTTGTCAGCACTGACAGTTGTCCGGCCAAGTCGGCAGTACGCTGGGCAGCGCTGCTCGCTCCTGTGCACGTGGCTGCTCTGAAAGGCAGAATCCTCGCCAGCCCGTCGCGTTTGTTCATGCGAGGATAACACCTAGAATACTGGAAACGCCTCTGCTGAGGATTGGAGGTGCTTGTCTCTGGCATCCCAAGCTCTTGTACTTCAGAAATACCCTCAGAGGGAGCTTGTCCTGAAATTTCCAGACCCGGTGCACTCCCCTCAGTAAGTCTGTCAGGTTTACAGGCAGTAACAGTAAATGTAGCTGAGCTCTTCCCTCATGATCTGCCAGGCAGGTTTGAGGCTGCTTCCCTCCTGGGCAGGACTAAGCCAGGAAGGGAGCAGAGGCAGCGGGGAGGTGGAACGTGTGTTTTTTGCAGACCTTTCCTGTTCTGCAGGATATCCTGAGGCCCCTGTAACCACATGGACGATATGAGCCAACTGCTCTGCAGGAGCTTGGAGCAGTTGCAGCCCAAGTGGCTGGTGGCTGGTAAAGGCTGCCTGGAGCGGCTCCTTCCTGCTGGTCCGGGGCACTGCTCTGTCCTGGCCTTCAGCCCTGCTGCCCTCGCTCGGCTGCAAGCGCCCGCCTTTCTGGTAACAGCTCTCTCGGAGGTGGATTGACTGGCCTGTCTGCAGGCCACGCGCCCCACGGCGCCCGTCGGGTGTCTTTGCTGACTGCCCTGACAGCTGAGCCTGCCCGAGACCCCGCAGGGCGCAGCCTTGGCCTGACCTTGGGGCGCAATCACCTTCCCCATGGGGCTCCTCTGCGGCCCCATCCTGTGCTCTTGAAAACCAGAAGGGCTCAGTCTGCAGTTCCCCTCCAGGCACGGAGGGAAAAGTTACTCGAGGACATTCCAGGCTTCACCACCACCTTCAGACTCTGAGCATCCCTCTGTCTGCATTGCTCATGCTCCTGTGCAAGAGGAAGCTAAAACGCCTGAAGACTTAATCATTGTTTTAGGTCTCCAGGAGGAGCTGTCTTCTGCTAGGAGATGGCTTATGTTTTATGGCTGCTGAAATGTCACTGCAGGAAAAGCTGGAGGAGGAGGGAGAGGTGCCTTTTTTTGAGCGTATAAAGCAAAGAATAATTAGTACAAATAACAAATGCTGCAGCAGTGACTCACTGCGTGAGTCAGAGGAAGCCATTCCCTCAGTCCTGTGCTGTGGTACAGCACTGGAGTTTAATTTTTTGACCCTCATACATGCTGCTCTTGGCCGATTTATTGTGTGACTGAAGGGGCTTTAGAGCAGCATTTCCATCGAGCGGCTCCCGGGGCTGTGCTGGGGCTGCAGCAGCTCTGGGGAACACCTCTGCCTGGCGGGGGGGCACCTCCCTGCACCCTCCGTGGCTTCCCAGCAGGCTCCGGTGGCCACAGGCTTGGGTCTGGCCAGTGGGCAGAGTCCCCCCCCCGCCGGGCTTGGTCAGAGCCGGGTGTGGGGAGTCTCAGTCTGCGCTTCCCGCAGACCTGCTGGGCAGCCGCCGTGCGAGGCTGGCCTTGGTCCTGCGCCGCTCGTGGCCAGAAGAGCTCTTCTCTCTCGCTCCCTCTCTCTCTCTCGGGCTTGCTTTCCTGCCTGCCCCTGCCTGTGCTCGCTGGCCCTTCCCCTCCCTCCTGCCCTCGCCAGGCCTCGCAGCAGGGTGACAGTCCGGGGGGGCGGCAAAGGGCAGTGACGTGGGAACCCAGCGCGGTGCCCGGTGGTTCTTGGTGCTCTTGGGCCCCATCAGGGCCGCTCTGCAGGGAGGGGAGGACACCTCTGTGGAGACGAACGGTTTGGTTATTCGCAGAGGATGCACCTTTGAGAGAGTTTGAGCGTCCTGCGGTGGGGTAGTCTGGCGCGTTTTGGCGAATGCTGATGCGGAGGGACGCTGTGCGGAGGTTGCTCCGGAGCCTTCGCTGCTGGCGGTGGGCAGCAGCGTGGGAAAGGCTGTTTGTTGCTTTTTGTCTCCTTGCAGGACGGCCGTACCGTGGAAAACCCAGTGACATGTGGGCGTTGGGCGTGGTGCTCTTCACCATGCTCTATGGCCAGTTCCCCTTCTACGACAGCATACCTCAGGAGCTCTTCCGCAAAATCAAGGCTGCCGAGTACACCATCCCGGAGTGAGTACCCGCTCCTAGGGCCTGTGCGGGCCGTGCCCTGGGCCTTACTGGGATGGCTGGGACTGGAGGGGCTTCAGTGGAAGCCCCCGAGGGTCGCAGCAGTAATTAGAGCAAAGACTGTAGACACCAAGGAAGCCGCAGCAGAGCCGGGAGCTCTCGTGCGCTGGGGAGAACGGCCCCGTGCTGCAGGGACCGGGAAGGGACCTCGCCGTTAGCGCTGGGCTGTCTCGCTCGGAGCAGCGGTGGCCCCTCGAGTTGCTGAGCTGCGCTCCCACACGTCCATCCCGCTGCCGCCTCAGGCTCAGCGTGTGTTCTCTCTCTGCCAGGGATGGACGGGTCTCAGAAAACACTGTGTGCTTGATCCGAAAACTGCTGGTTTTGGACCCGCAGCAGCGTCTGACGGCTTCTGAAGTGCTGGATTCTCTCAGCTCCATCATAGCATCGTGGTATGTGCAAGAGGAGAGACGGGAACATGGCGTCTCTGGCCGCGGGCTGTGTTATTCCAGCTGCGGCCAGCGGACTGCTGCCAGGCAGGACACCAGAGGGGGATCTGAGAACTGCAAAAAACTTTAAACCCAGCGTCTCATCCACTGGTGATGCTGATGGCTACGGCCGGAGCGGCCTGTGCAAATGCTTGTGACTCTAAAGCAGTAACGTTACAGAGCAGTACTGGGGTACAGGAGGGCCTTTGCTGACGTGACCCCTTGGGCTCCCCAGGTTTGATTTTTTATTTTTTTTTTTCAAAGAAAGTCTCATGGTCAGGAATAGCTCTCACACACACAGATGCAGCCAAACAGACACGTCCTGCGAGGGTGCGATTAGCACTGCGTTGTGAGCTCGGTGAGAGCAGGCATGAGAATTTGAGAGGGGAAGAGCGGGAGCTGCCATCGCGGGTGGGAACCCACGTGCAGGGTGGGGATCCCTTGTGAGGGGAAATCCGACTCCAGGCCTGGCACAAACCAACTGGGATGAAATTCCAGTAGCACACTCCAGCAGAAACGGGTCCTGCTGGTGTTTGCTCGGTGCAGCCCTCTCTTGTCAGCCCGTGACCTTCTGTCTGTGCTGCGCAGCATGCCCAGGCAAAGTTCTCGTGCTGCCTGTTGAGTCAGCAGCAGAGTCTGTGATTTTTGGAGCTGTGGCTGTTTTCGCTCCAACCTATGCAAAAACTTGAGAGTTCTACATCCTATTTAAAAAAAAAAAAAAAAAAAAAAAAAAAAGGCAGCTCAGGGGGTTATAAAATTCAATTTCCCTGGCAGAAGCTGGTGTGGCACCCAGAGTGCTCTGTGCTGCGCTGTGGTGGCCAGCTGTGGGATTGTCGTGGCCAGCCAGGTGGGATTGTGGTGGCCAGGGCGCTGGGCGAGCTGGGGCTGTGCCCCGAGTGCCTGACGCTGTGCTCTCCCCACAGGCAGTCCATGTCCTCGCTGAGTGGCCCTTTGCAAGTGGTGCCAGACATCGATGACCAAGTGGCTAACCCGGAAAACCCCCAGGAGGTAGGTAGGGGCTGGCGCCGCCGTGCCAGGTCTGTGCGGTGGAAGGAGGCAGCAGCCCCCCGTGGCCCCTGAGCCGCCGAGGGGAGGCCGGGCAGGACCCAGCCGTGGCTGCTGCTCCGCGAGGGGCCGAGTCCCTCGGAAGGGGAGGCTCGTGCCGCTGGGGCCGGGAGCCCTGTCCAGCTGGCCGCACTGCCGGCCCCGGGGCTGCTCGCTCCTCCCTCACCCACAGCTGGGAGAGCCGGGAAGGGGACTGGCGTGGTGTTGGCTCGGGCTCCCCGGTGAGCTCTGTGATGGGAGCAAACATCCTGTTTTCTCACCAGTGTGTTTTGTTGGAAGCGAGGGGCGGTGACCTCGCTGCCTGGGGACGGCCTTGGAGATGCCGCAGCCGTGAGAAACCCCTCGGCTGGGCCGGGGAGGTGGGGGCCGGCTCGGGCAGCTGCGGGCTCCCAGCGTCTGGCAGGGCTGGGATGAGCTGGGTGGCACCGAGGACTCCTGGGGGTCCTGCCCGTACTGGCAGCAGGGCGGGCTCTGGCGTTAAGACTCCGTTACCCCCCGGTAGCTCGGGGCCCTCGGAGCTCGGGGACCCTGCCGTGTTGCTGCGGCTCTGACGGGCGGTTCTCCGGCAGGTGAAGGTGACGGAGGAGTGCTCGCAGTACGAGTTCGAGAACTACATGAGGCAGCAGCTGCTCTTGGCTGAGGAGAAGAACACTTTGCATGAGGCCAAGAGCTTCCTACAGAAGCGGCAGTTCGGGAACATCCCCCCGGTGCGACGCCTGGGCCACGACGCCCAACCCATGAACCCCTTGGACGCAGCTATCCTGGCCCAGAGGTACCTTCGGAAGTAGCTTCCCACACACCCGAGAGCACAAGCACCACCCTGCAGTCTGCCTTTCACGTCGCCTACTACAGCTCAACAGCAATACCGGTGTCCCGTGATGGAGAATAATGTAGCAATTCTTCTGAGCTCTGTTCAGGGACACGCACTCACACTCGCTCTGGAGGGAGAAGACTTTTGAAAAAGCTAGTTTTGGAAGCAGCAACCTCTTGGCATCTTCTGGAATCTGTTTTTTAAATCGAAGCCTAGATGACTAATCTGCTTTTAATCATAACTGTAATCTACCTCTCTTGTCTTTTTAACCATGCTGTTCTCTGGATCGAGCAAAGCCTGTGGGAAAGGAGAAGACTACCAAGGGTGAAGCTGGTTTGCTGGCACAAGTCGTGGCTGTGCAGTACGGCAAGTCGGCTGATTGCATCCGCTCCGTATGGTTTGAATAAGCTTAGATTGGTTGGGGTTTCTCGAAGAGTTTCTTGAAACCTCCCACTTCCCTTCATCTGCATCAAATCTTTTTCTGTCCTTAACGTGCCACCCGGTTTGGCTGCGGTGTCTAGCCCTGGGTGGCCGTGGGGGCTGCAGTGCGCCGAGGCCTTCGGGAGCGGCACAGGGAGCCGCCGGCGGCCCGGTGTGAGCGGGGGCTGCGGGGGGGCCCGGCCCCCCCTCGGCTCAGAGTCGTCCTCGCGGGCGATCGCCGCAGAGATCGGGTCTCGTCCGCAGTTCAGAGGTTTTGCAGGACTCGGCCCGGTGCGGCCTCTGACCTCTTTCCCACCTTTCACTGATTCTTTTAGTTTCATAAGGGTATATGATTTAATCTTATTTTTCAGTAGCTTATCTAAGGTGCAGTTAAAATTGCATTAATTCTGATTTAGCATTTTCACACTTCAGTTGTGGTACAGATATAATATATGAGTTATAATGTGAAAAAGCTTCCCAAAATAATCTGCCTAGAATTAGGAAGGGGCTGGCTGAAGTCTCTACTGTATTTGTTCCCCAGCTTTTCTTGCCCTCCCAGCCTCGCCGAGCAAACCCGGGGCTGCCTCTGCCGTCCCTGCGCGGTGCTGAGGCAGGAGAAGGACGTCCCGGTTCGTCACCTCATGCCACTGGAAGAGTGTTGGCCTGTGCTGAGAACAGGAACGATTGTTTCTGAGCCTCATTTTGTGAACTGGATGCCTGTCTTGCCAGATGAACTGTTCTCGCACAGAGGTCCCAGGGCTCCCCGCCTGCCTCCTCCCCTGCTCTCAGCCCTGCGGCAGCTCCAGCGTCGCCCCCCTCAGCCTGGGGGCGAGGAGAGGTGGGAGCAGGGATGGGGAACGCTGCTGTGGCCTCGGCGGGGGGGGCCGGCCCTGCTTTTTTGGGCCAGCTCTCCCAGCCCGGGGAGCGCGGGCAGGGAGCCAGTAGCAGATCTGTTTGTAGCGTGTCGTTGCCTTCTCTTGCCCCGGGCTGGGGCCGCGGACTGCGTCTAGCCTGGGCCGACCCCCAGGTGTCTTTGTGGGGACGTGGGGATGGACCTGAACCTCCTCGGCAGCATCGGGCATTATGTCCTGCCTGCGACCTCGCCGGAGCCGCTTGGCAGCGGGCAGGCAGGGAATTGTGAACACTAATACAGACTAGAACAGCTGCACCAACCCCAGCCAGCTGAGCCAGTAGCCTCAAGTCTTAGCCTTATTTATTTTAAAGATGGTAGGTCTGTCCTGGCACACCCCGGTGTGCCCCCGTCACCCCCCTGC